TTCTGGCTGGGACACATGGAAAAGGGTCAGAAATGGCCAGACAAATCTGGGAGGAAAAGAGCAAAATCAAAATCAATATAAACACTGCCATAGTTACCTCCCTACAGGTATCTCACCCACATCTGTCTTAAGTAGTCCAGAGTCAGGAAACAAGCGCGGCTTCTTCCTCACAGGCTTGCTGCTCCATGTGGCTTCCTCAGGTCTCCTCCTTGTTCTCCATTCAGCTTCATTTATTCTCTTCTTCTCTTCTTTTTTTCTGCGCAGCTCCACCCTCCTTCTTGGTGGGACAGGGAATCTGGAACTTCCCCTTTTCCTAGAGACCACCCTATTACAAGACAATCCACAGTAAGACGAACCATATGCAGTACATAAGACCTTTAATATAAGGAAAGGAACTTTCATATAATTAGTGTGTAATATAGAAAAGACAAAGATTCCAAATCAAGTGCTGGAAATTACTTGTCCCCTCGGGGGGTAAATGTCCAGCCAAACAGGACTGGACAAAGATAGGGCCACTGAGGCCCAAAATCCTGTGGCCTGTCTAAGGCACCTTCCTGTGGGGACCCCTAGAAAAGGGTGGGGAACAGCCAGACTAGTCTGGGAGGAAAAGAGCAAAATCAAAATCAAGACAAAAGCTGTCACTATTAACCTCCCCATGGTCTCTCTCATCCATGACTGTTTCAACCAGTCCAGGACCAAAAAAGCAAGGGTAGCTTTTTTATGTGTTTTTCTGCTCGGTGTACCTCCTCCAGGTCTCCTGGCTTTCATCCTTTTCTTTTCTCTCCAGGTTCTTCCCCTCCCTGCTCAGCTCCACCCTCCCTTGGGTTAATAGAAACATACAATGACTCTTCAGTCCTATTAGATTCCCAATGCTTTTGCATTTCCTAAGTCTTCACCTCTACTCAGTGAAGTAGGTATTATGGACACATTTTATAGATGAGGAAACATGGCACAGAAAAGATAAATTATTTGTCTATGGTCATGACAAGTGACGAAGGTAGGATTAATATCATGGTTTTTTGATTATGGCAACACTATGACATCTCTGATATTTTGGTGCCACAAAAAAAGCTAGAAATTGTGATAACTGTGGTTAAGTAATGTTATTTATGTTAATTTATTTCACAAAATGTTGAATTTGTCACTTTTCTAGGAAGTTGAGAAATAGTTTCCTAATGTAACACATCCTTCCCTCCATCCTTCCCACTCAACCTAAACACACCAAAAAGCAGCATACAGTACAGTTATTTGCCAACAATAATTGCTCAGTAAATGCTGAATCAAAGCCAAATAGGAAGTTAAGCACATTGATCCAAAAAGTGAAATAAATTCTTAAGAATGAGTGATTTACTTGCAAAGTTTTGCTGGCTTCAAATCAATTTTATCACTATTTCCTAAAGTGCAGATCTAGATGTCCTATAACAGAATTGCTTAAGGCACTTGTTAAAATGCAAGTTTTTGTTCTTAAACCCAAATTGCAGGAATCAGAATCTTTTTTCTTGTAAGATTTTACTTAGTTATGCATACAGAGGTGGGGTACAGGCCAGAGGTGCAGGGGTGGTGAGAAGATTCACCAGAGACAGAGTGAAGAGCAGAACAGGCCGACTGATGAAATACACTGCTGAGAGGAGCAGCGGGTGGGTCAGGAGAGGTCTGCTATGCCATATGGATCACCTCAGGGATGGGGATTGAACTTATGCTGAAGTGGCTTTAGCTTCTTGGTGCTGTGCTTTAACCTGCTACACCACTAGGGAGGACCCAGGAATCAGAATCTTAATGGTAGAATCTAAATAAGCATTTTAAATATCACCCTTCAGGAGACTCTCTAGAGTCATGTCTTTTCTCATAACCCCATGTGGTCATGGAAGGGGGAAAGGATGTACTGAACAAGCTCTAGCGACACAGGTTTTGTGGAGTCCACCCCGACCCAAGAAACCAGAACTACAAATCTCATCAACTCCAAAGAGAAGCATGCTGGGACCTGAGGGTGGAGTTAAGCAGCCAGGTTTAGATATAAAACTGGACATGGGGGCTCTGGGGTCTCTTGGCCTTGTGGCTTGTCTCTGGCTCTTCACTGGTTTTCAGCATGTTATTGGGGGTCCAGGTAAGCAGAACTGGTAGGACTCATTAATCAACTCATCTCTTTCTCTCTCTTTCCCTGAGTTATTCATTTTCCATTTCTCTTGTATATAAACCCATTATTAACATTTTTGTGTGTACCTGAAGTTGAACCTTATGCTCATGGGTGAGGGCTCACAGACAGGCTAATCAATTCACATTGGATTGCCTGTTAACCGTTAGACCTCCTGGAATACTTGGTGACATAAACTTCCTTTCTTCCTAGGGAGGTGATGGTGTCGTGGATGAGTTTCTACCTTTAGAGCCCCTTTAAGCTTGGAAGAGTTTGAGCTCTTTAAGGACTAGACATACCTTGTTTCATTGCACTTCTCTTTACTGTGCTTCACAGATATTGTGTGTGTGTTTAAGGTTTGGGGCAACCCTGTGTGCAGTGAGACTATTGACACTGTTTTTATAACACCATGTGCTCACT